GAAAGACAGATACGCCAGTTCTCATGATTGACGTGTTTGATGAAATCTCAGTGCTCCAAAATGTTATGGAAGATCTCATTGCAGTTTAGTACAAATGATGTAATCCCATTCAGATGCCCTTAAGGTTGATGAAGTAGGGAATTTGCCAAAAGGCCATCAAGGCCTGTGCTGTGATTGCCCAGCTGTAAAGCAGATTGCACACATGGGTGCGTGCAAACCCTTTTTTTACAGCCCTTGGCAAGAATAGCAGCTCTGCAAAATAGACAACCAGCAGTGCTTCTCCTTACCTGCACCCCATGGTAAGCTGGTATATGGCCAGCCTGGCCTTGCGGATCTCTCAGCATCCCAACCTCTCTGGTGCCACAACCTGCACTATCAAATACCTACCAGTGATTTGTATGTGATGAGAAAGGAGACCCTCCCACCAGCTCATTTCTCCAGCCTTCAGCTGGATGAAGGCTGAAGACGGATGGAAGGATGAAAGAAGGATGGAAGCCACAAACCCTTGAGAGCTGAGCAAGCTACACAATGCGTGAGAGTAATCAAGGCAGGAGGTAGTGGGAGATTACAGAGAGAGGGTGAGCAGTGGGACCTTCAAAAGTAAAATGAAGAGGTTGGGAAGGAGGGGGGAAGCAGAGAAAGGGAAATGATGAAGTGAAGCAAAAGAGGCAGGACAGAGCAGGGAACAGGATGGAGCTAAGGAGGATACTTCAGTAGCAGCAGAGAGTGAAACAGGGTATTTTTAAAGAAGTGTAGAGCAGGATAGAGAGAAATGGAGAAAGGGGAGGGGAGAAAGAAGGAAAGGGGAAGGGAAACCTACCTGGAAAGTGCGGTAAAGGGCAGAGTCAGGGTTGGAGGGGATGCAAGAGCAAAAAGAACAGAATGGTGGCTAGAGATGGCTTTCAGAGCACCAGCTAGGCTGTCAGTGTGTAAAGTGTAGCAGCGGCAGCCATGTCACTGCCATTTGGGGTTTTTTCCTGCTTTTTTTTTTTTTTGCTTTTCTTGCCTCTTTGAAAGTTATATTTTAATCGTGCCGCCCGTAGCTGTGGTGGTTCGAGCTGGGCACATTCTGTCAATCAGCAGCTTTGCTCCAGCCTGAGCTATCAGTGTGCTGCTCCTCAAAATGCACTGGAGTGTGTTCTGCATCCTAATCACCCCTGCATGGCTGAGATCATGGTGCCTCTGACCACAGGTAGCACAACTTTTAACATGCTTTACAAACAGGAGTGAAGGTGATTAGGCAGAGCTTTTATGGGCTGCTTCCTTGCACACGTATGAATTAATGAGAGACATTTTGGGGGAGAGGCTTTGTTTGATTTCTTGAACCAGCCTCACTTGCAAGGGTTTTGTACAAGCACTTGTCATAACACTGCTGTGCAGAGCAGGGTCTGGGAATACAGAACAAACTCTTCCTGTACTCAACTACAGTTTTTATTCTAATATATGTATGTATATAAACCTCTCCTTATTGCATACATTCCATTATTGCACATTATATTTTCCTGAACGGGAATAAATTGCAGGCTTGCACCTAGTTCTCACTCTCTTTTATTGTTATTTTAAGCAGCAGGTAAGGTTATAATCCATCTGTGTTTGTGACCTTGAACAAGAATGGGCACTTTCTCATTTACATAATGCTATTTTTTACTGAGCCATTAAACTGCAGAAAAACAGGGCGAGCATGGAAAGTAGTCATCTACATATGTTTAAAAAAAATAACTGCAGTAAATCCAACTGGAGAAAGCAGACTTCTAAAAAGATGCGAGTGTTCAAGAAATTAAAAAGCAAATGGACTGTAAAGGCAGTTTTACTGCAAGCAAAACCTCCTAAAATAAGATCCTTGACAAATACCACTCTGTGCATTTGGTGCGCTGGTACTCTGCCTGCATGAGCACTGCTCCCCTGACAGTTCCTGCCTTCATAAGTGCGATGCTCCCCACTGCCCTGGAACCACAGCTCTGCAGCCCATGGCCTACGGTGCTCCAGTGTTATGAACCTGATTCCAAGTTTTGCCTGAGGGGAGAAAGCTTACAGTGCTGAGCTGGGCTCTTTGAATCACAAACTGTGTGTGCTAGCGCTGAGATATGAAATAGCCGCGACTTTTTCACATTGTGAATAACCATTACAGCAGGAGCTGTAAATGACAAGACACAGTGATTTGGAGGGAGTGAAACATTAGATTTACTGCTGTTGATTCAGTTTCTGAAATGGGCACTCATCTTGATCCATAGGCTTTCTGCAGCTTCTGGGGTATGTTTTATCAAGCTGTCACACTGACTCTTGGTTTTTTTGCCTGTGGGGATGTTAAGTTGTGCCTTACTAAGCAGGATTGTGACAGGCCTTTGCGGATGGGGTGAAGGTAAGGGAAACCTCACTGCAGACACCCCAAGGGCTAGCTGCAGCTGCACATGGCCAAAGTCTGTAGCTCATCCCCAGACTGAGCAGCCAGTGGTGTGCTGCCTGGAGGCCTCAGTAAAGCAGCCTCCCGACAGGGTGAAGGCTGGAGGTGACCTGTTGCTGAGGGCAGTGTATGCTCTGTCTCTGTGCTACACCTTTCTGATCTGAAGCAGTCTTCTTTAGCGCTTCAGGAGCTGTAACAAGCTCAGTGTGGAATCAGCTGTCATCACACTCCAGTATGCCATCAGCAAACATGGAAGCAGGATGGAGCTGGCAGTCCTGTTAGTGATTCACAGTGTACAAATCCAGCTCACCCGCTCTAGTTACCCCGCAGTGGCTCTGAAGTGAGCGGAGCTGCTGTCTGTCAGTAGCTGTAGGGTAAGAGCAGCTAGCTGCACAGCTCCCACTTCTGCCATTTTCAGTGCATTATTCATTTGTATTACAGTAGCTCCTAATGGCCCCAAATGAGATCAAGGCAACACTGGCTGGAGGCTGTGCACATAGTGTAAGACAGCTCCTAAATCCAGGAGCATCTAATCTAATCAGCTAGTGAGCTTCTGTATGGTGCAGAGTTTATGCCTTTGAATTCTCCCATGACTGCATATGCTGTGCTTTCCTGGCCAGTGTGCTGCTCAACACAGCTTCTCCCCAAGTGGGAAACAACAGCAGAGTGCTAAAGCAACTGTCATTTGAGATGGATTTTAGTTTATTAAATGCGAAGCAGGTGAAATATGCTCTGTTGGGCTGTACTAGAAAGGCAAATAGTTCCTGATTGCCTGAGTCTTGGAACTGTGCAGCTTTTCCTGTGGAGACCTGACTGTTTGGGGTGGATGCCCAGTTCCAGAATGGAAATTTGGAAAAGACTCCCTATCTGCAGCTGAGACAGGAGAGTTGAGCATGGCCCTGTCTTTGCATATGGAAAAAGTTCACAGGGGATGAGCTTTCGAGCAAGGCTCTGAAACCCATGATTATGCTAATCCAATAACCTGGGGGCCATGGATGAAATCCTGAATTCATTAAAGTTAGTGACAAAAATATCCTCCCCTAGGGACTGCGGGAACGAAGCAACTGGCAATCCATTATTTCAAACTACAAGCTGATTAATGGGGTAATTTGTATACAGATCGAGGGACGTTTTCTGTCCCTTTCTCCCAGATCCAGAAATATATCCTGACTTGAAGCTTCATTCGAACTTCACAGAAGAGATGACAGAATCCTCTTTATCAATGTATTTATTTCTAAGCAGCATTGTAAATACAAATTTTAATGGTGTTGAGACCTGCAAGGTCTATGGCCTCAGAAAGGAAATTGGTTTATTCTGGAAAGAATTAACTTGTGCAACCTCTGTCATTTTTCACAACCTTTTGAAACACTTCAAATTATTCATTACAATACGTAATTCAATAGTAAATCTTGTTAGTGTATCAAAATGTTTGAAATACATGGAAATTTCTTTTTAAGGCTTTTTCTGGGATCATGGTAAATCTCAGCTGTCAGAAAAGGCAAAGCTCTGGGGAAAGACAAGAGCTGAGTGATCCTTAATCATAGAATCATAGAATAGGACCTTAAGATCATCCAGTTCCAACCCTCCTGCCATGAGCAGAGACACCTCACACTAAACCATGTCACTCAAGGCTCTGTCCAAAGTGGCCTTGAACACTGCCAGGGATGGAGCAGTCACAACTTCCCTGGGCAACCCATTCCAGTGCCTCACCACCCTTACAGTAAAGAACTTCTTCCTTATATCCAATCTAAACTTCTCCTGTTTAAGTTTGAACCCATTACCCCTTGTCCTGTCACTACAGTCTCTAATGAAGAGTCCCTCCCCAGCATCCCTATAGGCCCCCTTCAGATACTGGAAGGCTGCTATGAGGTCTCCACGCAGCCTTCTCTTCTCCAGGCTGAACAGCCCCAACTTTCTCAGCCTGTCTTCATACAGGAGGTGCTCCAGTCCCCTGATCATCCTCTTGGCCCTTCTCTGGACTTGTTCCAACAGTTCCATGTCCTTTTTCTGTTGAGGACACCAGAACTGCACACCATACTCCAGGTGAGGTCTCACAAGAGCAGAGTAGAGGGTCAGGATCACCTCCTTTGACCTGCTGGTCACGCTCCTTTTGATGCAGCCCAGGATACGGTTGGCTTTCTGGGCTGCGAGCACACACTGCCAGCTCATGTTCATTTTCTCATCAACCAACACCCCCAAGTCCTTCTCCGCAGGGCTGCTCTGAATCTCTTCTCTGCCCAACCTGTAGCTGTGTGTAATAACTTGTAAAAAGCTGAGGGGTTATTAAAAATAACTTTTTAGGACATATTACTTCTATTGCCTTATGAAGTTACTCTCATGATCTTGTGGTCCTTACATTCCTGCATGCTTCAGGTTAACTGTACCTTTCATTGAATACTCTAGAAGGGAAGGGGAAGACAGTGGTAGAAAACTGTACACTCTGGGGAGTAGTGGGGAAACTCCTGTTTTATGTCCTTTTCCTAGCTGAAGCCAGAAACTGCCTCATTCTGAGGTCAAAGCTCAGCTGTCTTGAGCCCATCAAAGTTGACTTCCCACAATGCTGTTTAACTCTGTTCTTGTTCTTTCTCTCTCCCTGCAGTGTGATAATGACCGGTGCATACAACAACTTCTTCCGAATGTTTGACCGGAACACCAAGAGGGATGTGACCTTGGAGGCATCCCGAGAGAGCAGCAAACCACGAGCTATTCTCAAGCCCCGGAGGGTCTGCGTTGGAGGCAAAAGGAGGAAAGATGACATCAGTGTTGACAGTTTGGACTTTACTAAGAAGATCTTGCACACAGCATGGCACCCAACCGAGAACATCATTGCTATAGCAGCGACAAACAATCTGTACATATTTCAGGATAAAGTGAACTCAGAAATGCACTAGATTTATCAATATCCCTCTATATTTACAAACCAGCCTCTTGAGAGTTGTAGAAGGATGTGATCTTCACAAAAAATTGTGGCTTCTGTGGTGGGATTTGTAGGTTGCATCCTTTCATCCCTCAGCCTGTATCTTTATTGATGGCAAGCCAACTACTTCTAATTTTCCATCACTGCAACTGTATGAGTAAAAGGCACGACTGCAAATCCAGTACTGTGGTCTGTATTGGTTCCTTTAAACAAACAGGGGTATTTATTCACTTTGGGAGTGTTCCTGAGGAGGGCTGAGGCTCCTCAGCTCCCGTTAGTCTTTTCAAGGGTCTCAATGGCTCCCAGGGCCATACTCTTCCAGTGCCCCGCCTGCTTTTGCAGTCCACAGCATTTACCACATTGTTAGAGCTTTTTGCCTCAGTCTCTTGATTACTTTTTTCAGTAACATTTTCCTCTTTCAGCTAAGCCAGGCCTGTTTGGGTGAATGAATAGCAACATTCCTTTAGACTATGTGGCACACTGGGAGTGGCCTCATGACACTTATACCTGGAAGCAGAATCCCTGCCAGTGAAAAGCTGCCCTGTCTCACCTATCCCATTCACTTCTTTACAACACCCTCTTGTTTGTTTATTTATTCACATTGCTTTGTGCTTCAACTTCCCAAGTAAGTGTCAGACTGGTATAGTTACTCAGCTGGCTTACTTTAAGTAGTTTCTTCGCCATAGATCTCTTTGCCCTATTCAAAACAATAACAAGTACCTTCATCGCGTGGAGGACTATGTAAAAACTTGGTATTGCCACTTCAGACTGGTCAGACACAGCCAGGCAGTTGACATACAAACCCATCCTGCCATCTGGGGGTTGGAGTTCTGGAAACCTTGGCTAGAAGTGCTGTCCTTGAAGGCAGCAGTCAGCTTCAGTGGGAAGAAAGTTATGTCACTGCTAGACACTTCAGAAAGTCCCTCGTTTGTTGATTGCAAGTGTGGTTATTTTAGTCATGGCCTTGGGGAATACAGGCAATGTAACTGTAAAAGGAATGGTGCCGCGAGATGCAGCACTTGTCAGTGAATTTTAACACTTTTAAATGAGTCCACTGCTGGGAGACAAAATTATTCCTGGAGAAATATGAAACATAAAAAGCTCCAAACCCAACCAAACCTTCCACATACATACTGTTAGATCTATCACTGGTTTAAAATGAGTAGTGATGGATAAATGGGAAAGTACACACAATTGGTATTGCACATGCAGGAATGGTATGAGAACAGTGCAGTGGGCAGGGAGTCCTCTTAATCCAGGAAAAGAAAGTTCTGCTGCATCCCTAATAGCTCTGGCAGAAAAATTAATATCCCAAAGGATTTCTCCTCAAACCACGAATAAAAGAGCACAAGTCACGTGACCTGTTAATCTGCCCATGTTAAAACTCCTCAGAAAAAATAAATCTCTAAGCCATTATGCACTGATTTCTTGGTAAGTGGAGAATGTACCAATGAAGGGATCTGCATGCTTTTATAATTTGTTTTGGGTGGAAAGGGTGAAAATCTGCTTACAAGAACTAATAAAACAAAGCTTTTATATGACAACACAACACATGAACTCTGTACCTTGGAAGTTTTCTAGATCAATGCTGTGTACTTCGTGTGTAGAAGCACAAACCCACGTGCATCACTTCCCAGACACACCAAACATACAGTATGAAATGTGTAGGTTCATTTGAAAGGGAATTGGGAGCGTTTATAAGACAGTATATGCTGTAGCAGGCATGGACAGTACATGTACATATTTATTCGAATGAAATTTAACAAAATTGCCTTTTCTTTTCCCCTCACTTGTAAAAAGGTTTAAGAATGTGGTAAATTGTATAGAAAACTTGTTAATGCCAAACTACCGCTTCAAGGGTGTCACAATTTCTTTGACTTTTGGCCTCCTCCATTAACCTTTGCAGCTCAAAAACAAGTAAAAATAATGCTGTCAGATCATACTGGCATTTACAGCTAGAAGTACTGTAAAACATATATTTAGCTTTTAACATTCTCAAGTTCTATAGATAACTTATTATAAAGCAGATCTTAATAAATACCACAGTTTTTTTGTTTTTAATTTGAAGTACCTTACTCTGTTACAGCTTTGGGTACCAAAAAGAACGTTAAAATTAAAGAAAGAAATATATCTTTGGAGCTTTATAGAACTAATGAAATGCCCAACCAAAATACCATGAAGTGATTATAGAGGAAATAAATAGAAACCTTTCAAAGACCAGTATTCCGTTCCTGCCTTTGACATCTCTACTGCAGATCGGTTTCCTGGTTTCTTGAATGTATGGAAAGTTAACATCGTCATTGTGAGCGTTTCCAACTTTTCTTTTTCTTTTTAATTTGAGCTTTCAGTGGTGTAGAGTAAGTGATGGTAAAGTTGGTAAAGCTGATTGATTGTTTTGAAAGCTGTTGTTCATGGCTGCATTCTTTGTGTTGCACAAATTAGCTGACTGTTGTTGAATAAAAATATAAATATGTTAATACCAGCTTTTTCAATAAAACTACAACCAAAAAGGCATAAATAGATGACTTCCAGACACAGCTTATTTTTAAGCTAGACATGAAAGGGTTGTTTATCTCCTTTTAACAGAGGAGGAAGAGTCACAGGGATTGGGACTCACAGGACAAGATACTGCTATGTGAACCTAAGGTGGTGTGGCAAGTAGAGAGGTAAACACAGTGCCCAGAACAAGGCTAACCTGGGGGTTTAGCATTATGATGAGTGTGTGAAGACAGTTACAGCAGAACTGGAGATAACACTTTTGATTTACCCCTTGGACCAGCTTTTTCCCCTGCTCATAGCCTAACATAGACTTAAGGAGGTTGGTGTCTCAGTTTCCTACAGATGGAATGAGGGACATGTGCAACGTGAAGGGACACACACAAATATAGGGTAAAAAATGGCACTGGTGTCATCTCTGGCCAGGCTGGGGACCTTCTAGCACAGCAGGCCATGAGGGCACATCTGGGATGTGTCCAGGCCTGGCCTCCTAAATAAGGCAGACATTGGCCCAGGTGACAAACCAGAGGGCTACCAGCAGAGCAGTGTCCCTGTTCCACCCCTTCCCCTCTGCCCCTGCTTCCTTTCTACCTCTACAACAGGGGAAAATAAATACATACATAAAGAGGTTTTTAATAAGGAGAGGAAAAAGTGGCGCACACACACACACTTAGAGCTAGGAAAGCATTCACTTCCCAGTGATGCCTGACCCTCCCATGCTTGCCCTAGATTTTGGACTCTTCCTTTGAATCTCAGCTAAGGCTGAGATTATTTATATTTATATTCATATTTTATTTATATTTATATATTTATAAAGCACCTATCACCATATTGATGGTGATATCACCTGTCTGCATGCTCTGTATGGGGCCCTGGGCTGCGAGAAACCACATGTCCATTAGCACACACGCTTTAGACACTGAAAGGCTGAGTCCTTTTCCTGGATGCAGACCAGAGTAAATATGCCTCAGCTGTTGTATTAGGCAGTGTGCTGCTCTGCACAGCTCCCCCACAGTTTACATGCTAATTCCCCCCCCCCCCCCCCCTTCTTTGGGAAGACACAGTCAATCCCACTCATTTAGATGGACAAATATGGCTAGGCACTGAAGAGCGAAATCTCAGCTCAAAATCAACACTTCAAGCAATGCCCTATTTACCTTCCCAGTTCCCCTTTTCATCCCTAAACACCCAGTAGGAGCAGGAGCCAGATGGCAAACTCTGTGCATTTTTCACACTCATACTTAGTAGCTGCATACAGAAATTTAACCCTTTATGGTTGGAAAGGGGGTACTGACATGAGCCACCTGCTTCTCCTGTTTGCAGCCAGCAAACTCATCTTGCTTTCAGGCAGTTAAGTCCTTTGGAGCCTTCCAAGGTTGTGGCTATTAATCCCCAATGAGAGGGTAAGTACAAGGATTGTTTGCCTTCTATGTCCAATTTTCACTAACAAACATCATGATCAGCAATTTGCTCCCACTCCCAACAGTAATCCTTTTCCATTTGCAGTCTTCTCAGCAAATGGCATTAGGTCTAAAATTAGAGCATGAATTCACTTATCTTGCTTATGCGGTAAAACCTCAGAATGCAACAGGATGACTGGAGTGGGTGAGATTCAAAAACTTGGGTCTAATTTCAGAAGATGCTTGGGGACAAGGTGTTTGGCTTTGTGAAGCCAAGGTAAGCCTGGCTGTTGTGTACAGGACCGGTTGCTGTGCATACTGGAGATGTTTGCTTTTGGAGACCTTCATGAAAACACTTTTCTTAGAAGTGGATGTTTTTTTCCTTTTCTCTGAAGTTGGACAAGGATCAAACTTATATTCATGTGAAAGCCAGCACAGCTCTTTAGGCAGTCCTAAATCTGCCCCTAAATCTGGCCCCTGATCCTAAATCTGATCCTAAATCAGAGATCCTAAATCTGGCCCCTGATGCAAAGCATTTCACGTGAAGCACCTGACTGAGCAGACTCCTTGGCTATAAAAGCTGCCATGAATATGGATCAGCCAGGCAAGGCACAGCTCATTACTTGGCTTGCTGTTTGCCAAGTGGAGTCAGTCAATGAGTGGGACAAGATCCTTAAACCAACAATTCCATGAAGCAATTATTTTAATTAGTGTGGTGATGCTATGTATTCTTTTTATAACATGGGCACTAACAAGAATAAAACCTGTAATAGCGACTATCGAAGGGTGGGTTGCTGGACAGCCACTCCCTGTTTTAAAACCAGCAATAATCATAGTTATAGCATGTGTATGTCTCCTGCAGCAGCCTCATCCAACACATCTGAATACATACAGGACCAAGGGTAACAAACTGACTGTGCTCTAGGGAGAGGAGTACTTTGTTCGCAGAACTCCAGAAACCCCCTCACCACCTTTTGTGGCTGTCATTTGATGTCATTTCTCCAATAGGAGGAATAAGTCTCAGGAAAAATTCACTATAAAGGATAAGTGATAAGTAGTTGAAACTGGAATTAGGGTGTCAGGTTTGGAGCAAAGAGATTGGTATTTGTCTGTGCTCTACCTATACAATAAATGCTGCCGTGGGCAGGACACCAGAGTGAGACCCCACTGTCAAAGACTTGTGTCAACATCCCAGCCCCAGCAGGCTCTAGCTTTCATTTCATCCTGGGGAGGCTTGAACATCCCCAACAGCCCTGGAACAGGCTCCCTTGCAGGTCAGTGGGAA